CATTTAGTTTTGGTTAAGTTGACTTACCTGAGTAACCTGTGTTGGGGTCCAGGTGCAAATGGAGGTTTAAAGCCTGGTGTGCCATGGAGCAGCCAAGAGGTTTGCTCTGTCCCAGTCTCTCTCTCGTCTCTTTTACACTAGAGCACCAACGGCCCGTTTGAGCTGCTCCTCTTCTACTGGGTCTTTTGTTGCTCATGTTCCTTCTCATGTTCTGTCTTGAACATTGGTCGGAAAAAAGAATCTAATAAAATAATAACAACAATCTTCCCTTGTCGATTCGTACATTAACTCCAGTCCCTTTGTTTAAAAATGCTCTGGTTCAATAATTGCATAACCCATGTGATTGTTTTTGATCATTTTGTTGAATTTTTGTTGTGATTATCTTTGAACTCTGTTTTATTATCTGTCAAACAGTAAAGTGTGTGTGAGTGTGTGTGTGTGGTTGTGTTGATTTGATGCTTTTTTGTCTACTGTATCTGTCTTTTGTTATTGTATTTATGAAGACCCCTCGAAAACTAGATGGCGACATCTCAAGGGGCTTATCCTCCAAATAAATAAATTCAAAATACTGTGGCCAACAAACAGAACCAAAACGTGCCTACATACATACTTTTGTGATCTTTAAGTCTTGTTATAATGTTATTTTCTCACAGCTGCAGTTGTGTTTTGTTTCAGTCATATGTTTGAGTCGTCCTGCATTATTAGTCTGTATACATCGCCAAAGCTCAAAATACTCTCCTCCACCTTCCAACCTTCAGTTCAGTAGAGATGGACAATTCCAGTGTATATATAACATCCTTATGTAACAGATAATACTCCCTACAACTATACAACACAAACTTATGTAACAGATAACCCTTGTCCTGTCAATCATTAGATCATCTTTGCACTGTTTTACCTTACACCCTCTTGTGTATAGATGACCTATATTTGTATTACTGTATTTCTATATTTGATTTTTACTTACATGTATTTATAACGAGGACAGATGCATATTGACCAACAGTACAAGTGCAGAATATGTCAGAGTCAGCAGAGAGGCTAGTTTCCATCTGCAGTCCTTTGCCACATCATAGATCCATGTGCCAGATAAACAGAAGAAAGATGGATTACATTTACAACGAGATAAAACTATTCAAATTTAGATAAGTTTGTACAGCAGCAGCAAAGCAGGCAGTCCTGACCCCTGACCCTCCAGACAGAGACTCACATGTTAAAAGTCCAGATAGAGAAGCAGAGTGACACATGGGCAGCACCAAAAGCAAAGTTGAAGAGGCAGTGCGATTACAAGCAACTTTAAAACATGCAGGTAAGACACATTAGTATTCAAAGACACAGGACAAAAGCTGCATTATTTACTGACAATTAAAACACTTTGAAAGCATTTAAGAAGGAGAGCAGAACAAAAAAAAAAAAAAAAACATGCACAATTAACCACAAAATGGTCATTTCTTGGAGCACTACTTTGTACACAGAAAAAAAAAGGTTGCTGGATTTGCGTAAAAAAGTTCTGGAAAGCAGTTGCATGCAATAAAATTATGTTTAGGCTTTGAAACTTATTTCGATCGCCTCTACACATATTTTTCTTAGAACATGAACGTCACTTTTTCATGTTGATGAAATTTGAACAAATCATGCTTAATATGCTTATTGTGAAATGTATAAGTATGTATAATTTAATTTAATTGATCTAATTCTGTAAAAGAATACAAACAGTCTTTAGTTTTCCACAGCTCTGTTTTGTCTTAAACAGAATCAAACACACAGAGACACAAGTACAGAGACACACAGTTTGGAGCTGGACACTGTGAAGATTTATTCCAGTGAAGAAGCTCTGGTCTCTGCCTGTGGACACAGAATAACACATGATGATCACATTCTGATCATCTACTCTGTTGTACATGTTTAAATACATTTAAAGTACTTATTACTACAATAAAGGACCAGAACAGAAGAACAAGAACATTAGAAGTGTATCTGCAGAAACAAAACTCACCATGTGCTGCTTTTCTTCTTCTAAACGCAGTAACAGGGAGGGCATCTGGTATAAAGTCTCCTAGTGCCACATCATCCTGTAGAAACACGATCACTGTTTCAATAGAAGTTCATTTTGAAAAATTTTAAAATAATTTGAGTTGGTTTACTTACTTTGTTCATCTGTGCTCTGTGTTTTGTTGGTTCTCAAACATCTTCCTTTTTCCTGAAACATCAACTACAACATTCATGAACTTCCCCACAGCTCCAGCAGAGCTCTGGACGTCACTCTGTGTTTGTAGACGACTCTGGAAGCAACACATTCACATCTGAGTACAACTGTCACCCTCTTGTAGATGGACAGTCAAAGACAATTTGTTTCAAGGAGTCCTTACATTTACTCAAATTTCAAATAAAACACCACAAACATGTTTTAACAATGACGACATTCAAGTCCAGAGAAACATATAATAAAATCTTTAAAAAGTCTCACCTCCAGATCAGCTCTCATAATCCTCCTGCTCCACACTGTGTGTCCTCTGCTCCTGAACTCTCTCCTGTGTCCTGAGTGTGTCCTCTGCTCCTGAACTGTCCTGTGTCCTGAGTGTGTCCTCTGCTCCTGAACTGTCCTGTGTCCTGAGTGTGTCCTCTGCTCCTGTCTCTGTCCTGTGTCCTGAGTGTGTCCTCTGCTCCTGAACTGTCCTGTGTCCTGAGTGTGTCCTCTGCTCCTGAACTGTCCTGTGTCCTGAGTGTGTCCTCTGCTCCTGTCTCTGTCCTGTGTCCTGAGTGTGTCCTCTGCTCCTGAACTGTCCTGTGTCCTGAGTGTGTCCTCTGCTCCTGAACTGTCCTGTGTCCTGTTATATTTGAATTTTCCCTCCAAAGGTTTTGGGGAGGAGAATTCCAGAGGGAGGAGCCTCACCACAGATTATAATAAAGTCATGTTTCCTCAACCTGATTAAAACATGCAGGTCTAACATCGGCCACAATCAAGCAACCTTTGTAAGATTTAAACATGCTGGACAGAGAAACTTAAAAAAGTAAGGTTATTGTTGTCAAATTTGTTTTTGCAATTTGAGCAACCCCTCTCGGACCACTTTTTCAGTGTACATATACATGAGGAATATTGTCTGAAGTGATGCTACTCGTAAAATGTTTGCCCAGTGAACCAGCCTCAGTGTGTGTGACCTTTACAATGCTACAGCAGCAGTCCATATGAAGTAAGGGATCCATATCTTGTGTGTTCACCACTGAGCAGAGGCCTCTCGTGTGTAATGGGTCAGCTCTTTTCAAGCCTCTCATTGCAAACTCCATCTGGTGTAACAGTATCTTGAGTGAGAGTGGAAAGCGTGGGTCATGGCTGCTCTCTCTCAGCCTGGAGGAGGTTTGCAGAGGACCCTTGGAGCCTGGCACAAGTTATGCAATGGAAAAACACATGGAAGAATAGACGAACAGAGCAGAGGTCTGACAGAGGAGATGGTGAAAGCATTATAAGTGTGTGTGTTTTAGGGTTGTCAGAAGTATCAAAAATCAAACACTAATCGGTACTTAGACTAGTATCGAAACTTGATATTCATTTCAGCAAGTATCAATACTAAAAAGTCCCATTCACAGCACAGAAAAGAGCCTTTCCTCAGTGTCTTTAGAATGATGCAGAGCTGGATCAGAACAAGTATCAGAGCACATAGACTAGTACACACACGGACCAACATGAACCTACTGGAGCACTGACCATTACACACAGATAAGGATAGAAGGCTAAAAGAAAGTATACTATGATTTAACACTGAAAATCACAGTCTACATAATGAGAACTATCTCCATGCAGAATGCTCCAAAGTATGGTTTGGAACATGTAACACAAAGTATGATTTTCTATTTCCATGGAGTCATGTGACGTGCCCCTCCAGAAAGTTACATACTATAGATTTACATAGATATTTTATTGTGCTAAAGCAAACAAATGCAACACATTCTCACTGCAGTCACTAAGCAAGAAAATAAATACAGAACAAATCACATAATACAGTCATGCAATCAATATATATCAACACATGGATGTAATGCTACTCCGTAAAAGAGATGCGTAAAATTCCGTGTGAACATGGCCATGCTCTGCTGCGCACGGCTGCAGTGGAGGCCTGTGGTGGCTAGGAGGCGCCACAGGAACAACTACGGGCCAAACCCAGTTGAGCTACTCGGACTGTCACTTCCTTCCCTTTTCTGATGGAACTGAAACACTACAGTGCACACGTCACACAAGCCCCAGATACATGACACAGACACACGTGAACACGGAGAAGCAACAGGAGGCTCCAGAGCGCGGAGTGTGGAGCGGCTCTGAGGTGGGGTCAGGTGAGGAGCGCGGTCCTCCACTGTCATTACTGCCAAAAAAGAACACAGACCATATCCCGGGAAAACCACTGTCAATAAACTGAGGTGGGAAGTACTACATTTCCTTCAGTAACTCTTCTGGCACAATACTTTTACTCCCACTTAAATAGCCTAATATTTTCATCAAAGTAACAGTACTCTTACTTATTTAAATCTCCAAGTGTTATTTTGACAACATGAAATTATTTGAACATTTGAGTTCAAATAGTCCTTCAGATATGATTGACTTTGTCTCATACTCGTGTCTTTCTTTTGAAAATACCAGATTATATCATTATAATTACAGTTACATTTACTTGAAATTATACATCAGATAACGTCCCGACAGTTACTCTCTCAATTATTGTTGGAGAGAGGCGTTTTCCCAAATACGTTTTTACTCTTACTTGAGTCATTTTTTGACCTGTAATTTGTCATTTCTACTTACTTACTCTTACTTCAGGACAATTTTTATCCTTCACCACCTCTGCAAAACTGGCACGTCGTTGCCATACGGTATTGTCAGACACAAACACAGACAAGTCGAATGCATAAACATTACGCATAAACATTACGCATAAACCAGGTCTCTTCGCGCGGGTTACGTTCCATTTTTAGCCCGAGTCAAGCTGTAGTTTGCAGTGTGTCTGCGCTCTGCTGCGGGCGGAGGAGGCGGTTCCTGGAGAGCCCTGCCTGCTCTCTCTCTCTCACATTCCTGGCTACGATTCAATGACTGAGCCAGACACAAACACGGTAACGCTCGCGCGCACACATATATAGAATGCGTGCGTGAGAGGCGCGTGCGTGAGAGGCACACACAGAGAGAGAGAGGGGGAGAGAGAGAGAGAGAGAGGGAGCGAGCGGGTGGACTGTTCACGGACTCACAGTCACAGTGTGAGAGCAGAGCAAGACACGGCGGACAGCGGGAGCGCCTCCTGGAACACGGATACTACCTTTTACCGAGCGGAACTTTTCTTTGGCTTTATGTTCGGATTACGCGCCGGGGGAATGGACAGTCGGCGAGGCGCACAGAGCGACTGGCCACTGTTCACTCACTAGTCCCCGGGAGCTCGCAAAAACTCGCTTCGTGGAAGTAATGCTGGCTGTTTGATGAAGCGTCTGGCAAACTCGGTTACTTTCGAACCACCGTGGATTTACCCCCACCGAGCGCGGACGTACAGTTGTGCTTTGCCCACAAGAAGGATATCGCCTCGTAAAGTTTTCGGGAAAACATGGAGACTGTGAGTCGGCAAAGCTTCCAGCCTCATCCGGGACTGCAACAAACCCTGAAGCAGTTCCACCTCAGCTCCATGAGCTCTCTGGGCGGCCCGGCGGCTTTCTCTGCGCGCTGGCAGCATGAGTTGCTCTTTAAGAAGGACGGGAAGGAGCCGGAGCCGGTGCTCCAGCACCTCCCGCCGCCGGTAATGCCCGGTCCCCTCTTCATTCCGTCGGACCGCTCCACGGAGCGCTGTGAGACCGTGCTGGAGGGAGAGACAATTTCGTGCTTTGTGGTCGGCGGAGAAAAGCGCCTGTGCCTCCCGCAGATTCTGAACACGGTGCTACGGGACTTCAGTCTGCAGCAGATCAACGCCGTGTGCGATGAGCTGCACATCTACTGCTCCCGGTGCACCGCGGAGCAGCTGGAGATCCTCAAAGTCATGGGAATCCTGCCCTTCTCCGCACCGTCCTGCGGCCTCATCACCAAAACGGACTCGGAGCGCCTGTGTAACGCCCTCATCTACGGAGGCACCTACCCGCCCCGGTGCAAGAAGGAGCTGAGCGGCTCCTTGGAGCTGGAGCTCACGGAGAAGAGCTTCAAGGTATACCACGAGTGCTTCGGCAAGTGCCGGGGCCTCTTCGTGCCCGAGCTGTACAGCAGCCCCGGCGCAGCGTGCATCCAGTGCATGGACTGCAGACTCATGTACCCCACGCACAAGTTCGTGGTGCACAGCCACAAAGCGCAGGAGAACAGAACTTGCCACTGGGGCTTTGACTCGGCCAACTGGAGGGCCTACGTCCTCCTGGGGCAGGACTACACGGCCAAGGAGGAGAAGGCCCGCCTGGAGCAGCGACTGGACGAGCTCAAAGAGAAGTTTGACTTCACCAACAAGTACAAGAGGAAGCTCTGCTCCAGGGTGAGTGTGGGCTACGCTCATGACTGCGTGTGTGTGTGTGTGTGTGTGTGTGTGTGTGTGTGTGTGTGTGTGTGTGTGTGTGTGTGTGTGTGTGTGTGTGTGTGTGTGTGTGTGTGTGTCACTGTGCGTGCTGGTTGAGCAGTGTGGAGACCAGTCACGTGGCGTGCTCAGCCCGGTCTGGCTCCTGCTTGTCTCTGATGCTGCTTCCAGAGTAAAACTGTCCCAAACTTGTGCCCTCCTCCTCCTCCTCCTCACTCCGCTGCTCAGCCGCTGCAAACACGTGTGGAGTGATTAAAGAGCAGATACGCGGTGTCACTGCGCGGTCACTGACACGTCTCGCTGTTTGTTGATGGGTGCCGTATTGTTGTTAATTAGAGCTCCTCCAGTAGTGACAAGAGCGCACCCCTGGGCCCTAAAGCCACCACCCTCCGCTGCTTTTATTGGCCCGTCCTGTAAATATGTCTGTCAGCAAATGGCTTCTGACCGCGGGGAAGCAGGGCATTCTGGGAGAAGGGTCCTCTCGTTCGTATAGACTGGTCCAGACGGTGGGCACGCGCTTCTGGATGATGAACACACTGGTGTTAAAGCCTGTGTGATGTGTGTGTGATATGTGTGTGTGATGTGTGTGTGTCTGTCACACTCAAAGCTGAGCTAAACACAGTGAATTAGACTTACACAAAATATGAGCCCACGAGAGGAAATACACGAGACATACAAGAGCTCCAACACAAAAACATCAACAACAATATTTCTAGAATCACGTGCAAACAAAATGGAGAGAAGAGAAACAGAGTCAAGATGAAGGTGGTGGTTCTTAGTGTGGACTTGAGTTTGGACACTGTCTTCTGTTTTGCTGCAGATTGTTGGCGTGTTGGGTGTCGGTTGTTGGTTGTGTTGCCTGTGTGTTACTGGTTTTGTTGGTTCAAAGTTGTTGATTGCAGGTTGTTGGTTGTTGACGATGGGTTGGAGGTTGTTGGTTTGATTCTTGTTGTTGTCTGTTGGTTGTTGGTTTGATTCTTGTTGTTTCTGGTTGTTGTCTGTTGGTTGTTGGTTGCACAAAGGCTGCGTCCGGCCTGAGCCCACCCCTCAGTAAAAGCCCTGTCCCATTTGCATGAACTGTTCCACATGAATGGAGCTGATGAGGCAGTGTGGCGAGTATTGTGGTGTAAACAGAATATGATGTCAACAAAGGGCCACATTCAGCTCGCAGCCCTTCCCCCTGCACCCATGTTACCCATGTCACTTCACCCACACCTTACCCGGGCATCCATCTCCCCTTGCACCCATGTCACCCACACCTCACCCATGCCACCCACATGGTTCGGTCCTTATTTGAGCCCTCGACAAAGCGTTACAACTATGACTTCACAAAACTGGCCCTAAAGTCTGTCTCCCCGATGTCAGATGGCCGTGACTGACAGTCGGATTAACCAGTCGGAGAAACACATGGTTTGTTTGGAGTCAATTTTTCCTTCCAGGCAGGACTGTCGGCTTGTCTTTGTTTAATTGAGTGACTGAACTCCATTAGTCTACTAACGTTTTTGTTAGTGAATTTATTTTATAGGGATTCTATACATGTATTATATGTAGAGGTTTGGGTGGGACAAATTTTTCAGTCTCGCTCCCGCCCGCGCCCGCAAAGAAATGTAATTTCAGTCCAACTCCCGCTCGCATCTGCAATAGTTTGTCCCACTCCTGCCCGCAAATGTTGATGTTCACTTTCTTAAGCTCTGTCAGACATGGAGAAGCGGAAAGGAATTGCCTAAAATGTGCGCGAGATTAGAAAATATCCGCAAATTTAGGCTGCTTAAAATGTTTTTATTAATACAAAAAAAAAAAAAATCCAGCACAAATGAGGTATGATAAGCATACATTAATCATTTGTATATTTTACTTTACACACAATATTTAATTTGCGTTCTCACCCGCCCGCTCTTGCAGTGTGCCGTCCTGCTCCCGCCTGCAATGAGCTTTCAAAATGTGTGTTTCTAGTATGGACCAGAGCAGAAAAGAGGCATAGAGTAAATTGGACATCATTTTTACATGCAAATATACGAAATACTACAGTACTTTTTAGTTTAGTTGTTGCATGAACCCCAGTGAGCTTGTGATCTTGTGAATTATTCTGGTTCAGATCATGGAGATACTGAATTGTAAACAAGTGTTTGACAGCACAAAGCCCCTTTTAACGTAATAACTGATAGACAGCACATCTTTAGTCCAACCAAGAACCTCTTTGGTTGATTACAGTATTACTTCCCTAACGCCGTAACATAATGGTTGGAAAAAAATGAGTTCATGTCATTTTGGGAGAATTTGGGACCTCCTTTATCATGTGAATAAATATGGTGAAAAATATAATAAAAAGGCAGCAGCTGACACTGTTACGGACTTTTGCCTTTGCATGACTCCTTATTTTAGGCTCATGATACAAAGGCAGAGTACAGGAACTAAAGGTCAAAGGTCCATTTTGAGCTCATTTCTTCATTATAGCAAATAGTTGTCAAATTTTGGGAGCCTCGCCTATTATACTTTTGTCTGGACAGAACAGGAACTTTCTCAGTTTCACACTGTGGTTAAGGTCTTTTGCCTTTGTAGGGCAGTATACACGATCACAAAAGTGGCAAATATTTCATTCTTCTTTGCAAAATAAATGTCCCTGCATCTCAAGGGTTGCTCACCCTGTAGTTTAAACCTCTTCAAACATGTTCTGAAATGTCCGTGTGTGTCAGATGCCCTCCCTGTGACCTTATTCTATGTCAAATCTGTTGATCCTGTACTTTAGGCTTCTACAAACCTCTTCTGAAATCCATGGGATTCTTGAATGAGGTTAAAGTTCAGAATGCAGAGTGCAGTCTTCTGAAATACAAACGCTACTGGTTACACTGAACATGTGCACTGTGAACTGAATGAACACCTGTCCTGCTTGCTGTCTACTTCTCTGTACTACTGTGCAGTACTGTGTACTACTGTGTAGTACTGTGTAGGAGTGTGTAGTACTGTGTAGTACTGTGTAGTACTGTGTAGTACTGTGCTTGGTGGCATTCCTGTGGAGAAAGGCCCTCAGCATGATTGGGCCCTCAGAGTGAAGGAGCCCTCAGTGCACACTTTACTTCTTGTGGAGTACACACACCTCGAGGGCCCTTCACTCGTCCCTCTTCTACTTTTACAAGAGCCCAGTCCAGGAGTTCCCTAGGACCGCCCACATTCCCAGGCCCCTCCCCTCTGGCTCTGTGTCTCATTTTGCATAATTCACTGTGTCACTTTGTGTGTAACTAGGGGTTAGTCTCTTTTCATGGATATGGTATTATTTTGTCGGGAATGTTACTCAGTGTGGCATTAAAGAGCCCATGTTACGCTCTCTATTTGATGATCTTTATTGTTTCCTCTTCACAGACACACCTGCAGTTCTGTTTTTATTTTATTCACACATGTTTAAAACACGACCCTTTATATTTAGGCTGAGCTCTTCTCTCAAACTCAAAACACTCGGTTCTACTTTGTGATGTCATGTGGTGATACAGTAACCACACACCTTCACTAGAATCATTTGGATCATTTCAGCCCTAGAATTGTTCATCTCTACTGAATTTAAAGGCAATAGCTGAAATGATGTTGGCTAAAAATGAACAAACTTGAAAATCATGCATTTTACAGTGAGGCATGTGATGTTACCAGCTTGTTGCCATAGAGATGCATAAGTCAAAAGCCATAATGAGAAACACTGAAGGCAAAGCAATGGCATCTCTATGAAAACAAGCAGATGTCAGACCCTCCCTCAGACAAGCTACGTAGTAAACTGCCGTTATCTTATTTCACTTTTAGCTGAAAACACATACTGTTTTTGAGTAAGCCTTTAAAACATGCTGTTCTGCCTGCTGATGTCATGAAGTGGTATCCTCTTTCTTCGGGGAATGAAAGTCCACACACTTTGACCTATTTCCACTCACAAGTGCATCCCATCTGCAAACATATGGATATCAGAACCTGTTTGTAGAGCTCTAAACCACAGGGTTAGCAGCTTTAACACAGAAACAAGAGCCCACGGAGACACAGGAAGGGCATCTGACACACAGGGACACTGGTGTGTGAGTGTGGTGCAGAGTGGAGGAGCAGTGTCAAACCTGAGGCTGTGTTGCTGGGCTGTATAAGCCCTCTAGAGGGAGGGCTCTGTGAAAGTGAGAGACGGAGAGCGCTTGCGAACTGTGAATATTCATGAAGTGTTAGCGTCTGACTGCTAGAGCTCATGCAGGAAGTGGGCCGGCTGCACTTCCTCCTCACACGTGCACAGTCTGGCAGCTCCTCGTGCACGTCTGGCATAGAGAGGGAGGGGGAGGGGCGAGGAGACTGTGTGGGTGGCATCGCAGTTGGAGCAGCACGGTGCATGGGATTTACACAGAGGCTGCATGAAAAAACGAGCCCAGAGATGGATACCAGTGTGAGGGAAGAGGGAGAGGAGGACAGGGGGAGAGGAGGAGAGCTCAGGAGAGGGAGAGGAGGACAGGGGGAGAGGAGGAGAGCTCAGGAGAGGGAGAGGAGGACAGGGGGAGAGGAGGAGAGCTCAGGAGAGGGAGAGAGGACAGGGGGAGAGGAGGAGAGCTCAGGAGAGGGAGAGGAGGACAGGGGGAGAGGAGGAGAGCTCAGAAGAGGGAGAGGAGGAGAGGGAAGGAGGAAAAGAGGAGGGGAGGAAAAGAGGGGAGGAGAGGTCAAGAGAGGGAGAAAGGAGGAGAAGGGGAAGAGAGGTCAGGATGGCCAGATGGTCAGAAAGTCTTCAGATGCCCATGGGAGGGTGGGCACGGGGCACCTGGGTGGCCGGATATGGCGATGATAAAATTGGATGTCATGGTCACATTGAATTCTCAGGACCAAACCCACATGAATGGTCCTTTATTACATAAAACAGACTCCTGTGAGCTTTAAGCCAGGTTATAATGTTATTGCCTCCTCAAAAACATACACAGAGTCATGTTTTGTTTCATTCACACATGTTTGAGTCATTT